CTGAAACTCTTGTGAGGTAAAAATATATAATTAATAATTTAAGTATTTAATGTTTGACCTTCATCCCAAAACACTTGATCTCATATTAAAGATTTTGGATCTGAACCTACAAGCTGCCCTGCAGATTCTTTCTTTTTTACTGCTGTACCACACAAACACAAAAATCTGTCTGCAAACCTAGGTAGAACAGATCTTGTGAAACTGAGCTGCTACACAGACAGTAGCAGCTCAGGAAGCATGTACTTATTTTCTCATGCAAAATATGAACATTTTGCATTATATATTCAGAGACTTACTCTCCTAGCTGGAAGTATTCCTTTTCCAAATTCCCTCAACATCCTCATCTAGAGCAGGTAACATTTCTACTCCTCTTTGGGAGTAGATCAAACTAACATCCATCCATCCATCCATCCATCCATCCATCCATCCATCCATCCATCCATCCATCCATCCATCCATCCTCCTCTCCACTCACTTAATTATGTATTTATTTATCCTACAAACACCATAGGGAAGTGATCACATCACCAAGCCTGCCAGAGTTCAAGAGGTGTTTGGACAATGCTCTTAGGCCCATGCAGGGATTCTTGGGATTCCCTGAGCAGGCCCAGGAGTTGGACTAGATGAGTCCTTTCAAAGTCAGCATATTCTATGTGTGTCTGATTCTAGAATTCTGTAGAGTGATAAGCCACTGTGTGTCAGAGGGTAATAAAACACAGGTGAGCAGAAATATCTCATCTCTTTGTAAACGGAATATTTGCCCATCCCTCCTATAAATACAGTCCGCTAAAAGTTTGAATAAGTCTTCAGGGTTTTTACAAAATGAGTTTACAGCACAAGTTTCCTCCTCTTGGTTGAAAAACTAGCATCCAGAATAGCTAATGTACAAAACTTTGCAGAAATAAATGCTATTGAAATTTTAAGCATCTGAGGATGAAAGAAATATTGTACTTACAATTTAAGCAATCAGCCACCCTTTCAGACTGACAAATGTTTACTCTTTTCAGTAAAATCCTAATGATTTTTAAACTCTGAAATTATATGTATTTCTTAGCTTCCAATTTAGTTTATTCCATTCTTCTATACAAACTTGCTGCTTTTGAGGGTTTTTTTGCCTGGCTTTAATTTTCTTTTTTTTTCATCATGAGTATTCAAGAGGGAAAAAACATTTGTTAGAGCATATTCTAGGCCATTGCAAAGTTAACTCTACATTCACATCTACAGCTTTCAAGATTTTGCAATAGAGGCGTCTTGGGGTTTCTGTGGTCGAGATGACCCTGAGGTATTAAAAAGTCTCTTTTTCCCAGACTCGAGATCGAAGAAGGAGTCAGGATTCTTCAGCTGTGATTTTCAAGGCTTTTTATTCTTTGTTATCTAAAACATTCTTTCCCTGACCTGCTGAGGTCTGTCCAGTAAGTCGGTCCAAGGCACACTGACTGCCTCAGAGGCGGTGTTACCTTTTTATACTAAAAACTACACGTACATTATTTACAAAAATTTTCCAATACCTATTACCTATGTTAGACCGTGTGTTTCTACTCTAAACCAATCCAAAAGTGCTAACATCACACAGAAGATGGAGGCGAAGAAGAAGAAGGACAAGGCATGCCCAAATCCCTCCATCTTGGCTTCTGAACCTCCATTATAAAAATCTTAAAATTCTATTTTTGTATCTTGTAAGAAACTAACTATCATTCTTGTAAGAAACTAACTGTCATTCTACTTAAACTTTCTTGGCTTGTGAATCCTCATATAAAGTTGGTAATTTTTTCCATGGGTTAAAATGGAAGCCGCAGGTGTCTTTGGCTTTGTGCCAAGGTCTTTGAGCCCTCGGCCAGGGGCTCGAGCCATCCAGGGTACCCAGAGGGATGTCCTGGGTTCTGACAGGGGCAGACAGCAGTCACCTTATGTCTGACATTTCTTCTGGTATGTTTCTCAATAGGTTATGTCCTGGCATCTTCATACCTGCTGCCTAACAACTGAAACAAGATCCAGTGTCAGTTTTCATTTGTGTTTGAGGAAGTACTCTACACCACGGAATCATAGACTCATTAGGATTGGAAAAGACCTTTAAGAATCTTAAGACCAGCTGTCAAGCCAGCATCACCACCATGTTCACTATTTAAGCATATCCTCAATTGCCATATCCACACATATTTTGAACATTTCCAGGAATGGTCACTTCACCACTTCCCTGCAGAGCTTGTTTCAATGTTTGACAACCCATTCTGTAAAAATTTATTTCCTATTATGCAATCTAAACCCCCCTGGCATAGCTTGAGGCCATTTCCTCTTACCATGTCACCTGTTGCCTGGGAGAAGAGGCCAATCCCCATCTGGCTACAACCTCCTTTCTGATTGTTGCATAGAGTGATCAGGTCCTCCTGACCCTCCTTTTCTTTAGGATAAACAACCCAAATTCCCTCAGTGGCTCCTCATCAGACCCTTCCTTGTGCTTGAGATGCTCCAGACCCTTGTCCAGCTCCATTGCCTTTCTCTGGACTCGATTCAGCACCTTAGTGTTCTGAATTGAGGGACCCAGAACTACCAGTGCCCAAGGTATGGCCTCACCAGTCCTGAGTACAGTGGAGCAGCCACTGCCTTGGCCCTGCTGGCTACAGTATTGCTGATCCAGGCCAGGATGCCATTAGCCTTCTTGGCCACCTGGGCACAGCTGGCTCATGTTCAGATACTGTTCACCAGCCTCCCAAGGCTCTTTTCCCCAGGCAGCTTTCCAGCCACTGTGGCAGTTCATAGCACTGTGGGGTTGTTGTAATTCAAGGGCAGGACACAGCACTTGGCCTTGTTAAACCTCATCCAGTTGGTCTCAGGCCATCAATCCAGCCTATCCAGATCCCTCTGCAGAGCCCTCCTGCCTTCCAGCAGATAAACACACCCTCTCAGCTTGGGGTTGTCTGTGAACTTGATGAAGATGCACTCCTGAAATGAAGGAGAAATAAAGGAAGACACAAAAAAGGACACTGCCAGTCTGAAGAATCGGCTGCAAGAACTAGCAAAATTAATCTGACATCTTTAGAGTGTTTAATTAGTAGTTCACAGACCTGGGTCATACAGTGTATGACCAGTCTTTCTCAGCATTGTCACTTAGGTTGATTTTTCACATACCAAACAATCTTTGGTAGCACTAATCACTTTCAGGGGCACTCAAAGAGCAAGAGTACTGGGAAGCCTCAGGAGGACAATCTGGGCATGACAAAGATGAACAGGAGATATGAAAGCATACAAAGACTTTTGGAAGGCTGGAAGTGATAAGTATGATTGTCTGTTTGTGGCACAGAAGGAAAGAATTTCCTGCATTTTTTTTCCAGCCCCTAAGTTGCATATTATTTTGCTTATCTCTTTGAACCAACCATAGCACAGACTTTCTTAACAATTCTACAATAAGTTTTTCATATAATTACTGGTTTATGCATGGGCCAGACATAACATGGCAGCAGAATCTTTATTCATGTCCTTGAGTATGCAATACACAGGCACAGTCAGAGTGCCAAATATTTTCAAGAATAATGTAATTGTCTAAAAAGCATGAAGGGTTGTGCAATAAAAAAAAGGGCTGTACCCTGTGAGGGAAGAAGGGAGAGAGAGAAAGAGAATAGATGAAAAAATATGAGTTAAGCAGAACCTGCTAAAATGCTAGGAAATGCCACTAAATATGGAAGTGCAAGCGATATAAGTGATCTGGTGCTTGCAATATTAATTATAGGGATCCAGGAGAGGGGATGAAACCATAACTACAAGAAGAGTATGTCCTTTCTGCATGCAAACACATATACACACAGAGGAAGAAAACCCAGCCCCTGTAATTCCCATTCCTGGGGAATTTTCTGCATGTGTACCTGTCACAGGGCTTGCAAGGGTTGCAGGATGAAGAGAGAGGCGAGAATGTTGACCTCATGTTCAGAAGGCTTGATTTATTATTTTATGATATATATTACATTATGACGATACTAATAGGAATAGAGAGAAAAGTTCTCAGAAGGCTAGCTAAGCTAAGAATAGAAAAGGAATTAATAACAAAGGGCTGTGTCTCAGCAGAGAGTGTGACCCAGCTCTACCATGAGGGTCAGTAAATCCAAACATCCACCCGAGACCAATCACAGATCCACCTGTTGCATTCCACAGCAGCAGATAACCATTGTTTACATTTTGTTGCTGAGGGCACAGCTTCTCAGAAGGGAGAAAAATCCTAAAGAAAGGATTTTTATGAAAAGATGTTGGTGACATGTACCCTCCTCCATTTTCCAATTACTAGCCCAATGATCACAGCTGAAGTGTTTGGATGACCAACACTCAGGGAGAGAAAGGAGGAAGTTGAGACTTTGGCTGTGAGTTACCCTGTCCAGACTGTATTTGTGTAATGATTTTCTCATTTCCTCTCCCATCACAAACAGATGCAGCAGAGAAAAAGAGAAGTGAAAAAAATCCAATAGAATTCCTGACATCTCTGCTGCCAAGTACATATTTTGGTTGCTTATTCAGCTCTATTTTAGTATTTCATGTTTAATGATTCATTTTTCATCTGGGAGTCTCTTAAAACTCTGCCTAGGCTATGAATAGTCTAGAGCTAGGTCTTTGAAACAAAACCAACTATTAGTGATTATAATATAATGTTATTTTGTTGAACTCAGACCTGCTTGTTAAACCACTGCCACATTTATCTCTTAAGACCCATCTGCTACTTAAGAGCATAAACAGAAATGAAGGTTTTCCTAAAGTTCCAGCCCTGCTGAGTCAAAAAATGTTAGGGTTTATTGGAACTACAGGATCAAGCTTGTGCAATCAAAATACTAGACTTGCCTTCAGTAATTGAATGTCATGAAAATTTCTTCTAGGCCCATACTTCATGAAAAAGAAACAGAATTCTGGAGTTGAGGGGAAATAAAAATGTTAACCGTGTTATTACAAGGACATTTTTACTCTTCAGAAATTTACAATACTACAAGAATTGCTTTTTCAAATAAGAACACGGTGCACGGAAATTACATATCTATGTGCTTTATTTCAAGCCTAAAAGAAAAAAGAAACAAAATTGAACAATTCTCTAGAGAAACTGATTCCACTCCAAGATCTGCCACTGAGTCTCCAAGTGAGGTCAAAGAAATCTTTTAACTCAAAATGTGTCCACTTTGCCATTCATAATGTAGTTGTCATTTGCTGATCAATCAAATTAGGATTCTGGGCCTATAAAAACTCATACAACACAAAAATAAAAAAACCAGCATATACACAGAACATATGAAATGCTTCAACACCCTGGAAAATCATCTCTACCTGTTTTAACTGAAGAAAACTTACTAAAACCAGTAAAAATTTAAATTCTCATGGTCTTGGTGCCTTAACTGTAGAGTGAGAATAAGAACTTCTGGTGTTTCTGTGAAAATTGATTTGATTTTTATTCATTTGAAGGCCTAAGACACAATTGGTGTGGGTGTCTTGAAATAAAACTAAGGAAAAAGTAGTCACTCTTTATGTAGAAAAACACTTGAAAACTGGAATATGACCTAAATCATGCAAATGTGTAAGGAAAACAGTACAATGAAAGGTTATTTATTAATTTTCTCCATCCTCCAGTAAACCAGAAGAATCCTGTGGAAAGAAAAAGAAGACACAGTCACTAATAATATCATTATGTGTGTAGAGAATTAAAATAAGGTTGCTGAGAAAATCTGTATTTTCCCAAAGATTTAAGCACTTGATCTTTTGTTGTAAATTCACCTATTCTAACTGCTTGATAGGCAATCAGCACATATACAAACCATGAAAGAACTCAACAAGGGTCAGAGGACTTCTGTTTGAAATACTGCCTTTATAAATATTAACAATCAATTCTCCACGAAATGATCTAATATGTTATTGTAAAAAGTTTATATTTAAAATTTAAGATTTAAAATAGCAAGTGTGTAAAACCAGACCATTGATACTCTTAGTAAATGAAAGCCAGCAGAAAACCCCCAAACTTCTGATCATGAAAACTAAAAACACCACCTTATGGCAACAGTGAGGATGACTTGAAACAGATATTAAGGAATTCAAGTAAATATTTCCCTCTGTCTTATACAGAGGTTCGTAGCAAACAAGAACCTTTAAGCAAATTAATTTCTTTTTGACAATATAAAAAAACCTATTATCTTGTAAAAACTGATTAAATTTTTACTTCAGTACAAAGCAAAGAATAATGTTTAACACATGTAACTAATTTTTTTGATACTGCATACTACCATTAAATATGTAGCTGTAAATTTTAAATTGAGTAAGTGTTCCTCTTTTTTGTACACTGGAAGCTTCTGGCCTTCTGAATGTCTGTGGAGCAACACGTGTAATCAAAGTAGTTAGCAAGTTCTTCATATGTTGCAAATTTTTATTTAAGTACACCTACTTCAGATTAAGTCGGAACTCTATGATCTGTCATAAGGCTCACTTAGTACTAAGTACATAATTCCTTGACATGAACAGGGTATGCACACAGCCTGCACACTTTCAACAGGGAATGGCATTGCAGCGACCTGATCTAGTTACCTGATTCTTCCAGACAAACTGGAATTCCATTGCTACAACTTAAAATGCTTCAAGCTAAGCACAGACATTAGCCATTAGCCATCAAGTTAAATCCAAGCTGACCTCCATGGAAATTAGGCACATGAATAAGTGTTTTGGTAACTTTATTCATTTTATACAAGCATCAATATTATTGCTTAGTAAGAAGATTGCGAGGCAAAGCTGTGAGTAGTGCAGCTATTCTAGAGGTAAATATTTACACAGCTTGTAAGTAAACCCTATCTCCTCCTAGCACACTGTGTTGTCAATGTAGAAGAATCTATCTCCTTAAAAGAGAATTAAATATATTGTAATGAGATATAACCATCATGTCTAGACTGTTCCTTCACAACAAATCTAATTTTTAAATAACAATGTTATTATCTGCCACCTGCCTGTGCTAATAACTATGTAAAATGAGCTAACACAGATGCATTCACCTTATAAAAAGTAATCTGTCATAAACATGAGCCAATGTCCTGCGCGTGCCTGAGTAACTATGTATAGGGCATCTAGACATTATTTTCTAGGGCTTATTTAGGCTACATATTTAAACTGTACGCACAAAATGTTCCCACATGGAAAAATACCAATATATCTTCACTTACACGGACAATAATAAACCACAGAAGGACCACTAAATCAAGATTTAAAGAGAGATGAAGAAGAAATGATTTAAGGCAAAATTTACAAGATTCCCTTTAAGCTGGGCAAGTCTTTTCTGGGCCTCTTTTCACTACCAACTCACCTACTCATCAGCTCCTCTCTCATCTACCTTGGTTTTTTAAGGTCTACCTCCCATTTACCTTCAATGACCACACGCATCTCACTGAGGCAGTATACTGCCATGACTGACAAGGTGGAAGTAGATAAGGTAGAGCTTTTACCAAGCAGAATTTCAAGAGACATCTAGTAAAGCATGGGAGACGCAGTCACTCAATCTGCAGCAACTTGGTCAGAAAAAAAAAAAAAAAAAAAGACTAAGCTGCTATCTGAGCAGTTTTGACCTGGCAGTTTTTAAGCCTACATCTACCATTTAAAAAAATATATAGGTATACAGGCTGATTCCTTCAACTTCTGTACCCATAAATTTCTGGGTGCAAGAAGTTGCATTTCTGAGCTAGTTTTTGGAGCTGGTGCTCTCTTCAATTTAGCAGCCTCCATCTTCTAGGCTTTTCTTCCAGAAACTAACCTTGAAGGGATGAGCTTCATAGTAGTTCAATACGGCAGTTAATGTAGTACAACAAAGATCTGTGTGTAATGTAGTACAACAAAGATCTTGTAGTTACAGCAAAGATCTGTGGCACCAGCTGAAATATTTAGTGTAAGTGCCACAGAATTCAGGACACGTATCATGCAGGCCTATAGAAAGAAATCCAGTGACGAACACAGGGAGCCTGCAGTCTCAATAAAAAGAACAGTGAGGTCATAGCAGTGTCTCAATAGAACTGTTTCATTCACACTCACATGAAGATACTGGCTGTAAATACTGTTGTGTATCATGTCAGAACTCTAGCAGTTGTCTCCTGAAATAAATTGGCATCTGTTCCAAACATGAGACATCAACTACAACATTGTCAACAGCATTACCTTACTACTACTGTTCCAGTGGTTAACATGGCTCCAGTTCTAATCATCAATGCTATTGGAAATAGTGGGTCCCTAATTTCTGCCAGGTGACCATGAACTGAGCCCCCAGGCATTCCCATGCACACATGAGGGATGGGAAACCCAGAGTCTGGTGTCTGGCAGGTTGACTTTGATTCTGGATAGTGATTGTGCTTGGGAAAGCCTTTCATAGGAAGCATAGGTTTCCTTGTCAGCACTTACTGAACAACAGAAGAGGGTTTCCTTGTTGAAAGAGAAAGGAAGGCAGAGAGGAAGGAGGAAAGAAGGAAGAAGGCAAGACATGGAAATGTTTATAGTCCAGCAAAATGCAATCATTGGTTCATATAATCATTAACAGCACCTCTGAATGATACCTATGCAAGAAGGTTCACCTTTCCATTCCTTTCATGAGTCCTCAAAGGCCTCTTCATATTCCACTGCAGTCCATTTCATTTCACATTCCTTTAAGTGATCTGGACACAGCCTCTCATTCTTGAGAAGCTGACAGCAGAACATCATAAAATGCAGCATTTACAAGTCACAGATAGAAAGAAAACAAATGTCTTCCTAAGACAAAAAACCTGTATGTTGTAACATGCAACTACTTTATTGCTAAAAGTGCCAAAAGTGTACTTTTACTTACAATAAAAGGGGACAAAATATATTAGCAGCAGTTCATCCATGTTCGACTGATAGTTGTTTATAACTGAAGGCTACTGTCCTCTCATGTTAGTAGGAGTTGCTTACAGAGGTTGCCTGCTTTGACTAAACCTTTCTTCACAGCAGCTTCACGCAATGGCTAGAGGGGACCTTTTTGGGGTTGCACTGGCCCTGGGGAAAAATCCACAAAATCCTAAATCAAATACGTTTCTTGAGTGCTTGGCTTGATAAGGAAGAGGAAGCCTGGCTGATTACAATTCAGCTTAGGAACTGCTGCTGAAGAGAAGTCCAAGCTGTCTGACAGCAAATAGTCAAAATAAAGAAAAAAAAAAGAGTCTTGGGCTAGCAGCCATCTTAGCCAGAGCTAGTAGCAGAGTGTCAGGTGACGTATTTCAGAAGGAACATTTCACTGTTTGGCAATAACTCCAACAAAGTGGGCACTTGGTTTTGGCTGGTAATGTTAGTAGACGGATGCTCTGTCAATGATGATAGGATACCTGCCACACATCTGTGTCAGATATATCACTGATATTATTCAGAAATATCCTCAGGGGAAAAGCCTGTGAACACTTCTGTTTTTGCCATAGTTGGTAACAGAATTACTGAGATTCAGGCAATACAGGCTGAATGTTGACTCTCCTCCTGTATTTCTGCAACAGGCAAGGGAAACTCTCATCTTCTTCCCACAATCAACACTCCAGTGAATGTCTTGCTGGAGTCAGTTTATTCTGTAAACTTCACGATGGTGGAAGTAACTAGAAAATATTACTTTGCCATGCTAGTTAAGTTTTATAACACATCTATATCCTCCATATAACCTCTTACTGAGATTAAATAGCAACATAGGAACTAGATTCCTGATTACTAGCTAGGAAGAAAAGAGACACACTTGGAAGCCTTGCTGCAGAATTTTTAAGGGGATGTTGCCTTTCAGTGTATGGGCATAGAGTCCCTGAGAAGTCTGCCACGAATATTTCTAGGATTAAGTGTCATCAGTTTTGAAAAGTGCAAAGGACATTATTGACACATGCAGCAACAGTCAAAATAGGTCAGTCTATTTAACAATCCAAAATGGTGGTTGATCAAGGGCTAACCCTGGACAAAGCATATGCTCTCTTCTTTCACCCATTAAGAGTTGCAACTTCATAGTAAAGCATTAGCCAAGTTTATAATGCTTCTACATAAAAGGCTTGTAGTCCATTGTCAGTCTTAGACTTTAAGTAGTTTCTGAACAAAATATTCAAATTAGTTCTGAAAATACGAAATTATTATCATCTTGCATTTAACCACAGAAAGATTTTGCGAAGCTGTAGATTTAACTTTGCTGAATAAAACATATTCACACTAGCCTTCCCTTGCTTTTGCTCACTGCAGAATGGTACATATGCTACCCAAAACTGGACTTGTGTTTGCTGCAAGAAAAGAAACAAAAGACAATCCTAAATGTTTCAACAAGATTTTGCTGTGGAATGCCATATTCAAGACAAGTCTCACACCTTGGTATAAGGGGCGTTGGTACATTTTTTTCACTATACTTTGTACTTAAGACCACAGTTGATGTGACAGAACAGTTACCACAGCAACAACACACAGCTAAAACCCCAAAACTTGCGGTTTTAATCACAATTTTGCCCTTTTATTAATTTAGAAAGAAAACAAAACTGAATCTAACATGAATTTTAAAATTTTCATTTAAAATTTGAAACATTACAAATTATTTTATTTCTTATTTATGGTATCTAGTAATGCAAATGGGCAGAACAGCATTTACAATATTAAAAAATGAGGGAAATATTTCAGTTTCATAGGTACTGAAGACATGTATCAGCACCAAGGACAACAGAGTTTGCATTCAAATAAAAAAATAAATACCATATTTTATGATTTACAATTTTTTAATATGTCCTCCTTTAGTTTTCTTTTTCTTGAAACTTACACCAACACAAGTGAATTTAAGGGTCTTTCTTGGGGACAGCTAGAGTTGCCAATATTATAAATTAAAATCTTAATGACTATCCACTACTTATATCCAAAAGACTACAAATACTTCAGTTAAATCAATATTGCTACTGGCGTTCAGGTATTTCATGGTATGTTAGTGGAAAACATAAAAAACTGGACCAGAAGCACCACAGCTGCTCAGGCAAATAAGCCCTGGTCTTACATTGCCTCTGGGAAAATGAATGCTGTCATGTCCAGCTTGGACAGAACAAGGCCTAGAACATCTATCCTACTTGCAGATATAAAGCAGATGCGTACTCATATTAATTATGGGTACATAATTACCCATAATAATGTACCCATTATTAATAGCCATATTAAATTTAGAGCCCTATTTCCTGCATTTACTTTCTAGTATCAAATGGTTCTGAAGCTGCTACAAAATCTAAGTCTCTAAGTCAACTGAAGCTATTTAGAGAGCTAAAATTGAAAATTTAGTAACTTATCTTTTATATGGATAGAAGAAGAAGGGAAATTATTTATACAACTCAAGACCAAAAGTATGACAGCTGCACAACCTTTGTATGTGTTTCCATCAGCATATACTCATAGAAACATAGAATCACAGAAGGTCCCAGATAACTGAAAGCTGGCTAACATCCCAATTTTCAAGATGGGCAAGAGGAATGACCCTTGTAATCACCCACCTGTCAGTCTCACTTCAATGCCTGGCAAAATCTGGAGAAGATTATTCTGTGAGTTATTGAAAAATACCTGAAGGACATCACAGTCATCATTCACAGCCAGCATGGGTTCATGAGGAGAAAGTCCTTCTGATACCCATTCATTACAAGGTTCTCCACCTCATCGATCAAGGGAAGACAGTTAATGTAATCATAGTTTTGGATTCAGTAGTCATCAATGCTGTTTTTCACAGTGTCCTGGACAAAATGTCCAGCACTCAGCTGGATGAACACATCATCACAAGCAGAGCAACTGGCTCGTGGATTGGGCACAGTGGGTGACAATGAATAGGGTGACATGAGACTGGTGATCTGACACCAGTGGGGTTCCACTGCACTCCATTCCAGACCCAGTACTCTTCAATGTCATCATAGATGACTTAGATGCAGGATTTGCAGGCATACTAAGCAGGCTTGTGAAAAACTATCTTGGGAGGTTGTTGTGGATCAACCTGGGCCAAATGGCAGGCACCAATGAAAGCTGTTCATTAACTTCCCTCTGCAGCTGGACACAGGACAGAAAATATAACAAAGAGTTCAGGGGTTGAGATAAGGACCAGGAGAGACCCCTCATCAAATACCACCATGGGCAAAACAGGCTCAGCTTAGGGATATTAGGTGAATTTATTACTTACAAAAAAAAAAAATCTGAGCAAGATAATGAGAAGTAAAACAAGCCCTTAAAACCACCTTCACCCCACCCCTGGCTCTTTCTTAGCTCTACCTCTTACCCCAGCAGTGCAAGGAGACATAGAATGGGGATTATATTCAGCTCATCTCCTGTGGCTTCTCCTGCTGCTCAGGAAGAGAAGCCATTCCACTGATACATCATGGGGACTCTCCCAGTTCTCCGTGAACTTCTCTGACGTCACTCCATCTCACAAGCAACAGCTCTCTGCAAACTGCTGCAATGTGAGTCCACCCCACAGGCAGTTATCCTCCCCAAACTGCTGCAGTATGGGTCACTCCTCCCTGGGGTTGAAGTCCCTCAAGGAAAGGCTACTCCAGCACAGATCTCCCACAGGATCACAACTCCCTCCCAGACATCCACCTGCTTTGGTGAGGGCTCTTCCATGGGCTGCAGGTGGATCTCTGCATGCCCATGAACCTCCATGGGCTACAGGGACACAGCTGCTTCACCATGGTCTTCATCACAACCTGCAGATGAATCTCACCTCCTCCATCTCCTCCTCCACTGACCTTATGGTCTGCATAGTTGGTCTTCTCACATGTTCTCATCCTGCTCTCCTCTGGCTGGAATTAAAACTGCTCAACAATTTTTTGTTTACCTTTCTTCTTAAATGCGTTATCACAGAGGCATTACCACCATTTTTAACTGGCCCAGGCTTGGCCAGCATGTTTATCTTTGTAGACACAGGGATTGGCACTGCTGAACATGATGGAAGCCTCTAGCAGTTTCTCTCAGGAGCCACCCCTGTAGCATCCCCTCCTACCAAAAACCAATGCAAAACCAATAGAAGAGAAAAGAAACTGAGGGTGTCTTGTTCAGACAAGATGGATCAATATAATGATCTTGAAAGAAGTGGCAGGTCTGCAATAGAACAAAGCTCTTTTTACCCTTCACTGTAGTTTCAGTGCAATAGGCTTAAAATTACTAGAAACAAGATTTAGATTTCATATCAGGAAAGGCAAAATTAAAGATCTTATAGAATGCACAGTGAAACTGGACAGTGAAACTTTAAATTAAATTTCACCACCTATCTGAGCAATCTTCTTACTGCAAGTGTACTATTAACTCTCAGAAACATCACAAAAATGCTGATGTATATGTCTGCTTTGATTCAGCTGGTTTAAGTTGTAAAACTTTATCTTTGAAAAACTGTGTTTTCTGTTTAGAAAGATGAGAGGCTTTTAGACTCTATCAGAGCACAGAATAAAAATGACTGTGGTCTGAATAGAAATCTACAAAGTCACACATCTCTTTTTGGACAATGCCCAAGGCAGGTAAAAGGAGTAATACCAGTGCAAACATATTCCCTATGAAATCTCCCAAGGCTCAAAATGTGGCAATTAGACCTTTCAATAATTTAATCTCTTGAAGAAGTTTCTTTAAGATTCTTCATAAATGCCATTTACCTTACCTACAGACTTTTGGCTGGATTTATTTTCTTTTTTTAAGAAAAAGCTGTGGAGTAAAAAAGAATTGGTTTCTTAAAAATGAGTACTTCTTTATACAATGCATGATCCAGTCAGCTGGTGAACTGAAACTAACTTTTCTTTAAAACATGAACAATTAAATGCTTGGGTGAGAATGTGTACTTTTTCACCCTCTGTCTTTATCGACCAAGTTTTCTGAAGCTAATATGAATGAATGTTTCTATTAAACAGGACTAAACTTAGGAAAGAAAATTGATAAACAAAGTGCCCATATACCTAGATTGATACAAATAGGTATCAAAAGGAACTGGCATAACTTTTGAACCCAGACTACACCAACATCCAACCTGAATTGCGCTGGATGCAAGGAAGGCCAAGGAAGCTTGCTCCATCAACCACATGGTATTGGACATATCAGAAATCAAAACTGTTCCTAAAACTCCATACCAGTCGTATAATTGCTTTACAGATGGTTTTCCTGTAAATTGAGCCTCATAATTTTGGAGGCATTGGTGAAAGAAGCCTATATAAAATTTTTGAGAAGATTTGTGGCTGGTTTTATTTTTCCATCACAAAATTTGTTTGGAAACATAAATAATCTGCTCAATTTTATTTTTTTCTGCAGGAAAACATCAAAGTTTACCTGCAGCATATACAAGAGCTTAAAGATTGATTGCATTTCCAGTGATTTTAACTTGCTTAAACAGTTCAAATATCTGTGCATAACACCTCTTCAGAGTGGCTCAAAGCCTAGGAAGATTCTACAGGTTTGAATTCCAGGATGTCAGGAAGACAGTCTATACTTCTGAAAGATTTCACTTATGTTTAGTTTAACATTGATGGTCCCCTCTATATATGGAAACAGCATACTTTGCCTTCTATAATTCATGGTTCTCTCACCTGCAGTCTACAACCCAGTTATTCTTTACTAAGTCTCCAGATTCCTCAGCTAAGCAGTTCCAAGAATTAGTGTTGTATTTCCATTTCACTTTTATCTTTGTGCAAGCAGAAAAAGTTAGATACAACAGGAAGCAAAATAAAACCTTACATTTATTATAAATACAATCTATTTCCTAGCTATATGTGGCACGCGGGCAGCTGTAGGTGAAAATTACCTTGGGAGGCTAATTTGACCTCATCTGAGCTATTATTAGTGCAGTAAGAAGGTTTCAATATAACAGATCAGTTGGCAGAAGTAAAGAAAATCTACAGCAGACTCCCTCTCCACCCTGTCACTGTTGAAATGACCTCAAAGAAAGGTACTCCAATTTTGTTCAAACACCAAGAGGGTGAAGAATCAGGAAAAATTATTCCTCTTTCTCTGTAACCCATAACTCAGGCACTTTTAGGATACAGTCACCCCTACCAATACTGCTGTAGAAAGCTTATGCCTTGAAATATATGGATATAAGGAATTAGCAAAAAATTACACATTAATTCTAAACTAGAATTTGAACATTTTGTTTACATTATCAGGATTATGGTGGAAACTGCAACACATTTTAAAAAGTGTATCTTCCAGGTCTTAAAGACTGTTCTAATTTTTATGGCACTAGCCAAAAACTAAACAGAACTGCTCTGTGTCGACTACATTCATGAAAGTACTACCACACATTTCAGTAACAGCTGCTTCTGATGTCAGTGTTTCAATTCAGAGTTACAGAATATTTAGAATTTTCCCAAAGGCTTACCTCTGCTTCACTACTGGTCTGAATACTGACATCACACAGCAAGATCCTAAAGTCACTGAGCCACATCTGTCCACACAAGTTGAAGACAGATCTCACAAAAAATTAACTCAACAGTTGCAATCAGGAATCTCCACAGCAAGAAGATGTTGCAATACCATGTTTTGCATAATTATATTAATATCCCAAGTATCCTTAAAATGTATAGTGTTGGAGCATCATACTAAATGCTAGGAGCACTGTAAACACATTTTATTTTTTCACTGAAGTTTACATGAACAAAACATGTTAATTCAGTTGTTTAAATTCTCAACACAGAAGGCAGTGGTTTGGCTTTTTATTGGTAAACAATAAATCATCTACTCAATTAAAGTCATGTTCTAACAATTCTGAGAAGTTCCACAGTGGCTTTATTTACTTACAATTTAATATCAGAAGAAAAAATTAACATTCCAGGTTACTGTAGGAAAAAAGTGTATACCATGCTTAATGGCATACAAGACTTCTAACAAGCAAAAAATACCCTGTTTTACAAAGATTCTCCATTTTAAATAGGTTTTTATCTTATCACAGTTAGTACTCTCTCCCCCTAAGCTACATATTGAGAATCTCTATATACAAAAAGATACAACAAATTGATACATTACTTATTGCAAGATATTAAGGATGCCAAAATACACAAATTAAATTAGTTCCCCCCCACTTGCATACCCTCTTGCTTCTTATTTCTCCCATGAAGCAGTCTCCTTCTCTGGTTCTAAGATTAAGTTCTTTCAATGAAAGGCACGTACTTCTCTACAATAGAAGAAACAGATGCATTAATCTGAATGCCCTGTTTCAAGGTGAATTTAGCCTACATTTTTAAAGATGACACATTATGAAAGAACCCAGAGAGACATGACATTTTATCATTAAATTTGACTGGAAAAACTCATAGTTACCATATTACTGTGAAGCAAAGTACCATAAACCTGCATTCATTTAACCTTTCCAAATAGAGAGAAAACTCATTTAAAAAAATAAAAAGGGATTTACCATGATGAATGTATTTTTGAATCCTCAAGGCTCCTGAGTTCCTACTGAACTCTGGCAAGTCTTAGTAGCATTTCAGTTATGGAATACTACAAATAAATTGAGTAAATTTCTCTCCTTGTGACTTGCAGCACTGAGCAAGTAGGTTCTATGTGAAGTCATAAAATGAGGATTGTAAACTAGTAGTGTGATATAAATTTGAAAAACAAACATGTGCTAATAGTATACTGTTCCTCTGTTAGCACGTATGTAAAGTTGTATTCGAGAGACCAAGGCCAGAATTTCACACTTGGGCATTTAATAATAAGCTATTGAGCAAACTGGCTAAAACCCACTGTTTTGGTAAACAGCTGCATCACAGAGACTAGTAACATGGATGATGATGACAGTGGGAGTACACTTAAATTGTGTCTATGCTACAGCGGAGGGCAGTGGGGACGGGACCTTTTTTCATACAGCTCTGAAAGAAAACAGCAACCCTTGAAAGCAGTCATGTATCTGGACACCAGTATACTAACATTACTATGGTGATTTTTAGGAGAGAAGCCAGTTTCTCTACCTAGTCCTGCAAAGGGTCTAATACAGTTAACAGCTAACCCAAAATAAGCCTACAGGGATTTCTAATATAGGCATACTATTTAGAGTAGAGTATTACCTTAAAAAAAGCTTAATATTTGCAAGCAAGAAAAATGAAAGCAGACCAGGTGCCACTACAGTCTTTTAACAGGTCACAAAGAAATTAGGAATAAAGACATATTTTATATATAAAACAATACTTTTATATATATACCAAAACTTGACTACTTTGGTGTTACTAACAAATATAAATTAACATGGAGATAAGAATTTCCTGTAACTGCTATGTTTTTTGGTGCCTTCCATTACAAGGGAAAGAAACTTAAGCACTAAATCAGCTCAACTGTTGAGTCTAAGTAGAGTAACATTGCAACTGTTCTTTACTTAACAAAGCACTAAACTCAAAAAAGTTTCATTTACCAAAAGCCTCTCTTCCTTGTTCCCAGGTTCCAGGCCTGACTATGTATTTAAGCTATCTTAAAAAAACCCCAATCAACCATAACTCTGAATTACTATAAATGTCAGAACAAAGTGTAATGACATCTCCCAAAAATACGTGAGTATCATTTTCATGATGTTGTCCTCAGCATCAAGTTTCTTTGCGTACTTAGGCATTTTGTATTCCCTTTGGCCATTGTACTTAAGCAGCAACGTGAAGACTGATTACTAAGCTTCAGTTCAGATGCAAAGAGGTTGAAACAAGGGTGCAATAAATTAACTTTATAAAGTACATTCCCAATCAAGATTAAAAAAATAAAAAAATTCAAGCACTCTAGTTTTCAAACTATCCTCCCAGCAATGATGGATGTATCTTTGCAAAGTTTGAACACCATTTTATCAAGGTGCTGTACAGAGATTTGTGGAGTAAATTCACATTGTTCAGCCCTGCTTTCTTCCTACCCATGAACACTACTTCAAATAAAAAGTAGCTCTTAAAATTTTATGAGCTTCTCCCCATAAAAGAGAACACAGGAAGATATCAATATACAAAAACAGAGAAAATTCACCATCTTCACCAAATCTAACTGAAGTCCTTGTTTTCCTGAGTTCCCAGTATCAAAACAAGAATTTCAATAATTTAGGCACAAACTTTCAGAGCACTATTGAAACAACAGTTTAGACACTTCTACTATTAAATACTTCAACAAATTTTTCTTCTTCAAAATGAAGTGTTTAGGAAACAGGAAGGCAGAAAAATCAGAAATAGGCTCTCCGAAAGTTGCAATTGTGTAATACTGTTTGTTAATGATGACTAGCTAGATTATCATTTTACTTCCTGCTAAAAAATATAGCTGATACTCCTGTAAATAAGCATTTATAAAGAGTATCACGTTAACTTGTCAACAAATACCTTAACGTCAACAAGTATGCTGAATTACAAGAGAAGCTAAAAGATTTAAGGAAGACATTGAGGGAATTCTTGGATATAATGTGACAATTAGCAATTATATTTGACATATGTGTGAGTGTATACACATATGTAAATATATATATTATATATGTATAATATATATATATATGTACTGGAACAAGACTAGTAACAAAGGGTAATGATAAATGTCACATAATTTTAAAATGCAGAGGAATGCTAAGTAGAGATACTCTAGCTATTTTAATCTATTGTATGGGAGAGAAAAAAACAAGAGAGGCTTCAACTTATGAAAACAATTAAATCAGAAAGATATAAGGCGACAAAGGCGACAAAGTTAAAGAAGACTGAACATTTCTCTTCAAGTGCTGGAACTGCATACAAATTTCCTCCTGATAAACTGTAGAACACCTGACTCAGTACTCCAATACTTTTAATCCGAGACATCATGTATTGCATTTATCCAACTTGCTTGAGATCTGAATGATTTCACATTAAGCAGTGTGAATCAATTACTTGCTGTGACTGGAAGAACTCGTCTGATCTCTTCCGATACTTGACAATAGTCAAATAGCCCTTACTATGAGCTATGACAATCCCATCAACTATTTTTCCTGCATCTTCACACATGCAATGTGATGGCATTACTCAATAAGGAAAAATTTAAGTATGAATTGCATAAATTTAAATTTTAATTTATTATGTTTAAGGACACTAAGGAAACAGAATGAAAGCTCAAACAAAATTTGGGTTTGGAAGTTCAAACAAAATACAACAAAATCTTCCTGTATCTACAAAATTTCCAAGAATAGCTTAAGAACATGAATCTTTCAGTGCAGCAGTACCAAATGTAAAATCTGGTGCAGGATCATCACCAACTGCTGACTACCTTAGCCATAAGAAAGCAGAATGAAGCAAAGCTGCTTGAAGCAGAACTCATAGGTGAAAATACACAGGAAAAACTGAGGAGAATTTAAATTAGGGAAAAAAAAAGAAAAGAGAAAGATAAAAGCTAGCTGTTGACTTAACATTAACTTCAGCGACACTCTTTGTAACAAAAATATCCTACCTTCCTCCGCATTTCTCTGGAACCCACATGTTGAAGACAAATGGTGTTTATCTTCTTGCCCACTAAATTCTTGCCCATTTAAAATTCAAGTGATCTTGACATCCCTTCTCCAACTATGCATATGAAACACAGTAGTGAGCTTTCTCAGAGAAACTGCTTATCACCCACACTCTTTCCCTTCTATGGCTAGAAGTACACTCAGGTTCTAAATACAAACCTTCGAGGATGGCTGGCATCAAACAGTGTTGTATCATCATCATCATCATCTTGTTCTAATGGGGTCAGCTCCATGTTTTCTATGTTCATATCCAAAACTCCATATCTTCGGGTTTTTCTATTTTGCCTTCTGAGCCTGAAAAGTATTTTAGAACATTCAAGTAACGTAAATATTTTGCTACTTTCTGATCAAAAAATGTAAAATATTGCTACAGTGATAATTAGTGTAAGTTTTCTAAAACCTATGATAAGCGTACACACTTAGCTCTATGAAATTCAGAGGTCAGAAAATTTTAAGTGTCAACAGTTTACATGAAATTATTAAGGCCACTAAGAGTGTCATCTGTAGTTTTATACAGGATTAATGCAGTGAATACAAAATGGCACTTAGCATCTAAATATAAGAGCCACATAAAAAAATATGCAAAAGCATACTTCAAACATATTTCTACTGAGAAAAAAATTGCCTTGCTACATATTTTCTACGTGTCTTACACATGTGTAAATAATAGCAGATCAAATCAGGTAGAAACCAAACACAGCTATATAGCAAAGCTATAACTTGTAACACAAGTAATGGCTGACACTAGAAATTTTTATTATAATTTGTGAAGTTTTTTATAGATATCAAGTTTTAAAAATTGCCTATAATTACACTTTTGAATAAGACAGAACTTGTAGAGTCAATGTCTTGTCTGCTTCACAAAGTATGGAAGAAAGAGGCAGTAACTCATGTTTCAGGATTAAGGCACAGTGCTTATCATAGACAAGCAGACTGTGTGCATCTGCTTTTGTCACTCTCCACAGTTTTGCTGCATGGGCTGGGATCCCATGTGCATCAGTCACACAATGAACCATTCCATTTGACTTTCCAGAACTACTCTTTAACTCATGGAACAAGCTTTGCTCAAGTTCCAGAGCTCAGACCAGTAGCCACTCACCAAACAGTGTGCAAAGACATCTGTTTACAGAATGCTGACAGAGTCATTTTCAGTAACTGGCTAACAATTACATGAAAGCTATAGGACTTAAAAAAAAGGGAAATAATTTGTGTCTAGGTACTTAGTGCTAAACACAAAGGTGGTAACAGGTCATTCATTTAGAAAATCTAGAATTTGCAACCCCAAGCTAGGGGCCTACCAAACATGTTTACAACATTCAGGAACTTCAACACAGAGTATTTCTGAGCGAATATAAAAAAAATTACTAATATATTACAATATTCCAGTATTGCTATAATACTACGCATAATACATTATATTATTGTATACTGTGCATAGTGACCTCTCTGTCCCACATTTAGGCAGCATTTTACCTATCTTGTAAGAGGTATCAAATACAATACTGAGATTCTCAGCTTCCAATCCTGTCCTGAAACTCTAGTCCACCTTGAAAGAACACACAACAGCATTCAATCTTGGTTTATCTTTTCACTATACTCCAAACTATAAAATATATCTCCTTTTGGAATTGAGAAGTAAATGTAACCTTGTAAGAATGGGAAAGAGATAAAGTACATACCATTCTTCAAAGTTCTCAAATTTCTGATGTTATAAGAAATAATCAACACGGCCATTTCCTCCACTCTCAACTGACATGAAAATGCAGCAACTATTATCCCAGGCATTTAACTGCTTTAGACCAGAACAAAATACCCAGCTTTTTCATTTAAAGCTGACTACTACCAAAACCAAAATTTTCACCTTTCAGTTCAAGACAAAGTCCCTTCCAAGTTCTTCATTTATTTCATCTGTTCTTTATTCCTCAACATAGAAAGAAGTTGTACACTACAAAGCACCAAGTAGAACAAAATTCTAAAACTTTTAAGATGACAGTATGATGAAAAATAGGGTTGTTTGTTACATATTGTGCCTTTTGGTTTTCACTAAAGTAGAGGTTAAGCAATTGGAACTAGGACAAGCATTGTGGATATCCTAGCAGATAAGAAACTATTTTAAACACACACACAAAAAATGAAATTAAGAAGACGTAGTACATGCTACTCATACAGTCAGTATTTCTGTCAATCTCACTTTACATTTTACCTTTTTCCCTTAATGGGTTAAAATGGAAAGTGAGTTGCTACTGTGATTTGAGAGTGACCTAAGACAATCATAGCAAATGTCTAGATGGTAGAAAAAGCAAATAAAACTTATCACAAAGCTCTCACAGATTTTAGATTCAAGCAAATCCTGTTGATAAAAGATACACTAATTACTTGAGACTCAAATCCTTCTCTATCTAAATAGTTGTTTAAAAATTACAGCAACAGGAATATTGGAGATGCTTATGCAACATGCATGTATGCTCACAGCCATGACTCTAAAGCAGTGTCCTGAGTGTTAACAAAAGATCTTCTACTCTGTGACTGTCAACTGCTCAGTTGGAAGGGACCTGCAACTACTATCAAGTCAACTGCCTGATCAACCCAGAATTTAAAGCATGATACCATGGGTATTGTCAAATGCATCTTAAACACTGATCCCCTTTCTAAGAAGCTTGTTCCAGTCATTGACCACCCTACCAGTAAAAATATGCTTCCTAACGTCCAATTTATACCTCTCTTGGTGCAACTATGAACCATTCCCATGCATCCTGTAGATGGATGTCAGCAGGAAGGGATAAGCATCTCCTTCCTCAGGGAGCAATGGAACCTCAGGGAGCAATGAGGTCACCCCTCAGGCCTTTTCTATTCCAAAGAAGACCAACTCAATCCTCAGCCGCTCCTCAACAAGACAGGCCTTCCAACTCTTTAATCAGCTTGGTTCCCCAGTCTGGTTGTATTAATGTGCCTTGGTGTGCTACTTACTCTGCACACCGTTACTCACAAGAAGGCCATGACAATGTTGAATAAAGTTGGACAATCTCCTCCCTTGACTGTTTGGTTGTGCTTTGTGAGAACCACCCAAGGGTGAAGTTGCCCTCTTGGCTGCCAGAGCACATGTTGGCTCATATTTGAGCTTGCTGTCAGCCTGAGATCCCTCTATGCATGGCTGCTCTGCAGGCGCTTCTCTCCCACGTAAAACTAGTGTCCTGCGTTTGTTCTTGTTATATGTCCTGCCACTGGTAAATGCCCAATGCGCCAATCTATCTAGATCCCTATGCAAGGCCTCTCGCGCCTTGAGAGAGCCTACTGCACCTCCCAGTTTGGCATCATCTGCAAAGTTGCTAATTGCCAAGAGTACTGAGCAAAGCTGGCCCTGGAACTGAGCACTGAAGAGCAACACTGGTGACTGGGCACCAGCCTGATGCACTGCTCCTCACTACAACCCTATGAGCCCCATCATTCAGCTCTCTCTTCTACCAGTGTACCGCAAATTTACTCACCCCACAGCGGCAGAGCTTGTCCAGAAGGATACTGTGAAGAACAGCACCAAAAGCCTTACTCAAATCCAGAAATGCTACACTCATTTTCTTCCCTTCATCCACTGGGCTGGCAGCTTGATAGAAATTTTGCAAAAAGTTTTTGTCTTACAACAAGATAATGTCTTCATGCCAAGGAAACCTATCCGATAAAATGGGTCATTTGCACTTAATCCTTATACTTCTTATATAACCACTGCAAGAACATTTCAGCTACAAGTTCAAATTCAAAAATATACAATTTACCTATTTTAAAGTTCAGAAGCAAGATGCCACAGAATTACAGAATAATGTGAATAAAGTAAAGCTTCCAGTTTACAGTAGCACCTAGAAGGCAGCACTCCAGTTGCAAATGCAGAACAGCATCCTACTCTCAAAAACCAGAATATCAAGTAACTACCACTCATCCAGAAAATAATGACAATAGATGATCATTTTCCTCTCCAGCTCCTCCAATTACAGACTTTTATGTATTTATTTATTTGGCCTTTCGACAGTACTACTCACATCTCCAAATCCAACAGGCTGGTGTTACAAGACACACTAACACCGATAAGTGCCCTCAAGGCTTCTCAAGAGTGATTTGCAAGATGCATGGAACAATCAAAATATCCTAGTTTACTTAGACTGCATATCTTATTACATGACATACACAAAACAGTCCTTCAACTGCCTTTCTAAACTAAATGATGCAGATATTAGACACAATGGGTATATCTAAATGTAATGAAAAGTACATGGAGAACTTGCTCCATAAGTGAGGTGCCTTATGCATAATCATACATTTGGGCATTGCTCTGAAGAATTCAAGCTATTAAAGCATGAGAGAGAGAAGTAAAACTACCAGGACAAAAAAAAAAAAAAATACAGGGACAAACACTGTGCAAAAGCACATTGAGCTACGTAGAGAGTATTTTCCATGAGAAACAGAAAGGCAGCTAAGTGATAGCAAGCTTTATAAGCTTTCTTTAAAAGACACAAAATAGGTTAATTTAACTGTGAAAGAAAGCATAGAAGAAAACTGTTTATTGACAAAGTAGGGGAGGACAACTTTGGTAGTTTGGCGATACAGAAGTTTGCAAACTGGTCAAAAATCACTCTAAGAACAAACAAAGTAAACTTAGGTGGGCTGACGGATGCCAGCAGTGACAAGTCCACCCGGAGGGCACAGGATGGAGACGGGAAAGGCCCAACAATAATGCGCGATTCTCGGCGACGTGAGCCGAGCAGACCGAGCTGCTCCCCGCCCACACCGGGAAGGCGGTACCGGCAGCTTCCCAGAGCAGTCGGGCGCTACTGACCGGCCCCTCAGGAGGCGCGGGGCCGACACGCTCCGCAGCCCCCGCCGCGTAGCTGCGGCCCCCGCGCCCACACGCCCGCTCACCGCCCTCACCGCACGGTCCGGATCACGAAGTAGACGATGAGGGCGGCGCTGGCCAGAACCAGCACGGACAGGGCGCGCTGGGTCATGGGCTGGCCCTGCTCGGGCGGCGCCGACACCTCGGCCAGGCGGCTGCTGCTGCTACTACTGTTGCTGCTGCTCCGCGTGGAGGCCCCGCCGGCCGCCTCCGTTGAGCGTGGGGAAGCGGTGGCGGCGTCCCGGGGGCGAGGGGCCGCAGCCTCCGCGCAGCGGGCGGCCTCCAGCAGCACCAGCAACACCAGCAGCGGCCCCACCAAGAGCTGCGGTAGCGCCGGCGACCGCATCTCCCCCTGCCTCCCGCCCACTACGGCCGCGCAGTGCGGCTGGGCCCTGCCGCCGTCAGTGAGGCCGCCGGAAGCGGAAGCTTCTCCATTCCCTCTCCGTGTCGCCACATTTCTTTCGTGGGTCCCCCTCTTTTTCTCTGGATGGTCAGTCGCGCTTGGGGGCGAGTGAGGGGCTATTTGGAATGTAACAAATTTAAGGCGGGATAGTTTTTTTTTAACCAGTCCTCTGTTTTACCCTGATTCTATGTTCAAAAGAACAGAAATTTTATAACTGACTTTAGTGAAAGCAGAAATGTTAAAGAAACTTCCCAGTGTGACCATTTACGAGACTCCCTGGCAGCCACTTCCCAATGTCGCCTTCACATGGGCGGCTCCAGTGGCCCGATGTGTCCTCGCTTATCTCCTCGCATGCCCCACTTACGCAATCAGACTGGATTTCCCACAGCAGTCTCAGGTGTCTTGTTTGTTGACGTGCAGGACCTGGTCCTCCGATACTACCGAGCTACCTGCAGCAGACATATTCCTCAACAATAAAGCAAAAAGCAGGTTTGGAAAGTGTCCTGAAAACTCTTAATTTTTGCTTCAGCTGTGTTCAGTGGTGGAAAGATCAGGAAAGGTCTAGACGGACCACAACTGAAGGTGATGGAGCAGTCAGTGTATTACAAAGGCAATGAACATGGATGTCAAGACCCTGACTTAGGGTGATGCTACAGAGTAACTCTCCATGAATTTTATTGCTCTTGTGTCTCATTGTTCCTCAACTAAACGCTGTCCCAATAGAATAGAATCCTTTAGCTGCTAGAATGCATTGTAAGATTCTTTTTATTGGCTTGTTTGGTTTGTTACTGTATACTTCAGCAAAGATTTCAGGGGTATAGTGTGCCTACAGAATAAGAACTCTATATTGGTGGTCAGCTCTTTGGCATTTGTCATGATGTGAATGGGAATGTATAAAATGCCAGAGTAGCAAAGAAGCCTTGTGCAGATATATATCTGCAATTGAAGTAACGGGCAACAACCAGATTTTGTTCAGATGCAGACTCATTATCCCAGTGGCCTTAAACTTAACTGTGTATCAATTATATTGGGTTATATAAAATCACATACAGATACTGTGAAAATAGTGATTAGTTTACTTATTTACAAGTTAACAAGTTTAGCATTGCATTAACTGAGAAAACAGATTCACGGTCTTGTGTCGCACAATTAGTGTGAATTTGGAAAGCGTAAAACTGATTTAAGTAGTATGTGAGACATTAAACTATCACATGTCTCCCCCTTGAAAAATGGCAGACCTTTAATGGGAATAATGTTTCAGATTATATGAACAACAAATTTTGCTGAAGGTGCCGTAGGGATGGAACATGTGAATAAGCTTCTGTGATAGCTTTTTACAAGGTTTATGACTTCAACAGAGCTTGACTGATTCAGGTCTTCCTACTGCCAATATGTATCACCCTGCTTCTATCCTATTAATTACCGTGAGATATATTTTCTCTTGACAAGTCCAAGCAACTTATTTGCAGCACAGGGACAAACAACAGAGAAAAGTGTTACATTCAAAAGAAATATTCTTCTTAGAAAGACAGTCACTGATGTTAAATTGTCCTATAGAAATGTCCTTGATGCATGGACTGTGTAAAGTCTAACAGTGCTGGGTTGCTCACTTAGGATGATACAATGAAATACAGTGTTGTAAACTGCATGTTAGATGCAAAGCATTAGGGGAAAAGAAAAGAGGATTGCCTTGGTCAGTAAAAATTATGGCAGGGCAATATTAGTGTTTTAAAATGCCTTCTTGGCAAAACCATCGTCCTTAAAACCAAGAGTTCTAGTGGGGAAAGTTGTTTTTTGAAGATTTTTTTTCCCCAAATCAGAAGCTAGTGCTCTTAATAATCAGATTAAGATAGCCTTTGAGTTTTCAGATAGAAACTATAAAAGTAGAGCAATTTATGTTCTTTATTTTGAAACAAAAAGAATTAATGAAGTCCTTGAATATTTAATTGTTTCTTTAATCTGGGGGAGGGGTGGAGGTTGTTTAATTGTTGAAATGCATAGATTTATTCAGTATTCAAGTCAGGTATTAATACAAAACACTTGTATCCAAAAAATTTGAATGCAAAAATTGCTTCAAGAGAGCTATAAGAGAATTTTTTTCATGAAGTGTAACGTAACTTCAAACCTGTGTGTAAAAACGAGCAATCATTTTTAGATATTTTTAGAATTCCGGACTATTAGTAATTGTCTAACTTATTGGTTAGAGACAAAGTAATGAAATAGAATTTTTAAAAATTGTGATGTTCTGTGATCGTTATAGTATACAGCATGTGTCTTAGGGTTATAGTTCCCCATTCTGTGTTAAAATGTAGAACCTTTTTCACTTACAAAAGGAATATGAAACTTTCTTGTCTTACACGTAAACGGAATAATTTGAGTGCCAGTGAAAGACCTTGAAACAGTTAGACAGTTACATTGTCCGTTATTAAAAATAATGGAGCTTACTTGAGTTTTACTTTGAGAAAAGTAAAAAAGTAAAAAAAACCTTCCTTTTTTTTTTTTTTTCACTTCCATCAAACAGACCTTCCAGATTAATTGGAAGAGCACATAAATTACTTTACACAATTATTTATTATTTGAGTGTCAAGAATGTCTGAGGTCTTCTCATCAGAAAATGAAACAGTACTTTGGAGAAAGACACTTAAGAGCTCTGTATATTTTCCATTTTTCTTGTTTAACTAGTTGAACTAAAATGTCATTTTATGGTTCCTGATACTTGTAGCACCAAAGAGCAACACATCTATTTCCTTTTCTCTCATCACTATAATTCTGTCTATATCGTAGAATATTCTGTGTTGGAAAGAGCCTACAAGGATCATTAGGTCCGGTTCTTAAGTGAAAGGTCCGTATGAGCATCAAACCCACAACCTTGGTATTTGCTAACACCACTCTCAATTGCAAGTTGTTTGTTTTCATCCTTTATGAAGTCCTTGTGGAATGACTTTCCAATGATTTTGAGAAATGAAGACATTAGAGGTGAGTGCACTTTTCTGCTCTATAGGAGGTTATCAAGGACCATGCTGCCTGCTGCCCCTGTAAGCCATATTAAGCCCTTAAACCCTGAAACTATCCAGTTCTTTAGGTCTCTAAATCATGTTCTATTCTCTATTACTTATGCTGTCTGAGGACATCTTTGTCCAAATGTATCTTGTGAAAAACACCAATCACTGGTTTTAAAATTTTAAACTTTAATAGTAATAAAATGGTTATTAAAACAGTAATAACAATTAGAGCAATATGAGCAAACTCAATGCACAAAGTTAAGACAATAAAGGACAATAAAAAAAGAAAGAATTAAGCATGTCTGGATGCTTCATGGGCATTAAGCCCCCAAAAAGCATACCTGCTAACAAAGGGTTAAAAAGCAGCAGCCTGTTGTATATTCCTATATCTCATACATGAAGCCAACATTCCTTTTGAACTAGGGATTTTTCTGTTTATTTTCAACTTCTTCCCCCTTCCTCTTGTAAATCATTGTTTGATTCCTCACAGTCTGGAAGGAGGTGGAAAGAGTGGTTCTTCCTGATAAAGAGGCAATAATTCTTCTCTGGGATTTTAGTGTCTTGTTGCTGTTATCTCTGTGTGAAGAATTTCTCGAGGAGGTGGAAAGAGTGGTTCTTCCTGATAAAGAGGCAATAATTCTTCTCTGGGATTTTAGTGTCTTGTTGCTGTTATCTCTGTGTGAAGAATTTCTCGATTATCTTATCTGTTCCTTGAGCTAGTTACAAAAAGTATTTTACATCACATAGTTTCTATTTTAATATTGGGTTATAGCCTAAAACTGTATTTACCACACTACTTGAAAAGGATTAATACAGTACTACAAATTAATACAACATAGCACATTTAGTATTCCTTTTAATATTTGCAAAGAGCCAATCATATGATATATATTTTTCACATATCTATAGTTACCCTTGTAGAGATCAGAAGTCTTTTTGAGTAATCATTTAAAAAACCTCAGTCAAGTACTTTTCTGTTTAATGACTCTTCCCCTGATGATATGCAAACTAGCTGTAGACTGTTGCAAAACTGCACAGTATGCTCTGCAAAGAATTTACAACTATACTTTGTAAACTTTTCTAAGAAAAAATTTGTTTTATATTTAAAATGAATAAATAATATATTTATGTATTTATTATATTATTACTACAATATTATATTATATTTATATAATATATTTAAAATGAATAAAAATTCATTTTATATTTGTCTATGATTGATACTTGACTGCTTTTGAGAATGCAGCTGAGTGCCTTTTTAGATAGGTGCCTTTAAAAAATAGCCTAAGCTATTTAGGTCTACATAATTGTTATTTGAAATGTCTTCATTTGCTCTGCACAAAACTAATTGAGCTATTTTATTTAAAGAAAACTTTGTGAAAAAGATAGTATGATTTCCTGAACATGAAAGTGGTATCTACAATGTGAAGGTAAGAAATACTTTGAAAGCTGAAAAATACTGCCTAAAACCAGGTTTTGAATGGAATTCTGATGCTGCACATAGGTGTACCCCAGAGGAGATATGGAATGGCACATCCTATACCTATGCAGTTACAGAGCCAGGGACTTCTATTCTAGTCTAGTCTAGTCTAGTCTAGTCTAGTCTAGTCTAGTCTAGTCTATTCTTTGTCCTTTTCATGGTATTCCTACACAAAATGCTTATCATAAATAAAATAGTTTATTATATTTCTCTGTAAGTTTTTGCCAAAATGCCTTGAAGGCACTAAGAAATCCCATAATGTTTCGCATTATTTTTTCATGTTTGTCTATTATCTTTTGGTCTTGTGGTACCAAAGGGCTCTGACAGTGCCAGGATCAATTACCTGTGCCCAAGAACATGAAATAATTAAGAGAGAGGCAAAACATGCTACTTAAAAAAACCCCCGAAACTTTATGCTTTTTATTTTAAGTAATAAACATAGATTTAAGGTAATAAATAATAAACATATATTTTAGATTTATTATTTTAAGATATTTAAATAACAAACAGATTTTAA